GGCCCCAGGCCCAGGTGACGCCGACTCCGGTCGCTCTCCCGCGCGGGTAAACAGCCCGAATGAAAAGAGGCCCCTTGCCCTGTGGGCCCGAAGGTGTAGCGTCGCTTTCAGGCGGGAAAGGGATGAACAAGAGTAGTGTTCGCCCAGGACCCTGCCGGGTGTAACAGTTTGGGAAATCTGAAAAGTCGCCCAAGTCTTTTTCTCCACCAAATGCTCATGGATTGAGTGTCACGTAGATGGACGGATTGTGGTTGTGTTTTAACAATGGTCGTGGTAAAAATAAACGGAGCGGGGCAACCTGTTGATAGTGATACCTGTCAAGTATCATTCGATGGACTTGGGTTGCTCATGGTAGGAATTTGATTTGCTGTTCTGCATGCTTGCATGTACCTTGTTATCTGATGCACGGCAGTCCAGGCTAGGGCTGGTGACTGTGAGGACAACCACCAGGTGGAGACCCTCTGTTTCCTGGCCGCAGACTGGACTCCCAGTCACGGGGCTTTTGGCAGACTGGCCCAAACCCTGCCGCAGGCTGTCACTCACCAAAGAGAGTGAATGGCCAGTCAGCGGTGCGCCTGTGAGTACAGGATGTGAGGTCTGTTAGAGGATGACAAAAGGAATGGATGAGGTCATACTGCTGCTGGGTTGGGCGGGAGGCTGCAGTGTGAGAGGCTTGACCGAAAGGCAGCAGCCCCAGCATTGTACATCATAGCTGCTGCCTCGATGGCCACCCCAGCAAGTGGACTTCAGTGAAGGGTGTTATCCAAGCCTGTTGGTTTTACCCTATGTGCCAGGGATCCAGGGGAGTCTGCTGCGAGTCTCCTGATGGCTCACAGTCCACTTGGCAAGCAAGGTTTACGTCCATGTGTTCAGTCAGCTGAAGCAGTAGTGGGGCCGATGGCAGGAGTCACTCTTTGAGCCCCTTTACGGCCAGGCACTCTGTAGGGCACTTCCTGGGGATGATTTTATAATCTGACCATGACCTTGGGGGTAGGAAGCCTGAATTTCACTGGTTTGCCTGGTCTTGGTCCCTCATAGTAGTTGCCCTCCCCTTTTTGGTGGTCTCATCCAGGTTCCTGGCATTAATGCCCTCTTCCTGACATCTCCCATTGCCTTCTCCAGCCCAGGCCTCCCTTCTGAGCTGCTGCCTCTTCCATGTCTCCATGTATTACTTTGATGTCAAGTAGCCACGTCCAAAAACCAAACCCTGATCTTCACCCACCCCACAACATTTCTCATGCTGCCTTCATCTCCTCAATGCATGACAGCTTTGTTCTTGAGTTTAGAGTCACCTGGATTCCTCTCTTAGGCTTCCGTGCAACACTCAGGACCATTTCTTAACACCTCCAGCTTATCATGCTACTCTGAACTGCCTGGTGAGCCTCTTAGTTCTTCTCTTTGCTCTCACCCTTGCTCTTCCCTCTACTCACCCATGGTAGTTTTTCTGGACACAGAATGGTACTTTTAAACTGTAAGATAGTGTAAAACCAAGGAAGTGAGGAGGGGAGCCACCTAGCCTGGGTGGTAAAGCAGCTTCACTACTTTCTAGCTGTGTGACCTTGAGCAAGTTGCTTAACCTTTCTGTCTAACCTCTCTCCGTGCTTTGTGAGAATGCCTAACACTCTTAGAACAGGGCCTGGCTGAGGGTTGGCTGCCACTGCTGTCCTTGGATCATGTGACCTCACTGCTTGGACCCTCCTGTCCAGTAGCCCATCTCTCAAGATAAGGGCTACAGTTCTTGTCTCACTCCACCCTTCAGCACACTGCTTTTACCTGCACTTCTGCCCCAGGGCCTTTGTTCTTCTCTGTTACCTGGAACATCCCCTCCTCCCACCCACCTAGCTCACTCTCTTCTGCCTACAGATGGACTCTGGCTGTGCAGCCTTCAGTCTGCCCTTTCTGAAACTGCTTCCCCTCCCCCAACTCCTTGCTTTGTTTTCTCTGGAATACTTCTCACGTTTTCTTGGTTGTTTGTCCATCTCTCCTGCTAAAATGTGAGCTCTGTGGGGCAGAGATTTTGTCCATTGTGTCCTTAGCATCTAGAATGGTTACATGTGCCACATGGAAAGCATTCAGCAAACACTTGTTGAATGAGTAGAACAAGCTTACTAGAGGAAAGTAAGGAACTTACCCAAGACTGCTCCATTGTGAGCTCTGAACCTTGAGCTGCTGCCCGCCCCCTCCCTCCCCGCCCCCCCCCCCCCAAGGGCTGGGCAGGCTATCCTGATCTCCCAGGGAAAAAAACGGTCTCTTTCTCTACAGCTCTCTGACTCCACCTTCTGTACGTCTTCCAGGGTCATTATCATCTTTGCTTTGTGCTTTGATCCTGGCAGCTGCTTGGCCTTATAACATGGTGGCAGGTGTCCTCGTCCTGTACCACCCATTGTTTTCAACCCCCCTCCCCCCGCCATTTTCAGCCCCGAGAAGCACAGATTGGTTCTTGATCTGTGTTCTGTAGTACTGAACATGCTGACCTGTCTGTCCTTCTCTGAAATGATCTTTGTTGGTTGCCAGGAGACTGGCCTTATTACACTTGGTGCTCCTCCTGCCTGTTCGGTTGTAGCCTCCTTAGCGTTTACCGCAGGTCTGTGTCTTGTTATCCACATGCTGTATTCCCTTGATCTTTAGCACCTTTAACAGATACACCTTTGGGGGAAGTATCATTAAATTTCCATTGAATTCAGAAATGTAAGGACATCTTGGAATGTAGGAAACAAGAGTGACAGCTCAGTGGTCATGGCCCTTCCAACTGCATCCAGGCGGTGGGGACCTTGTTTCTTGTTCGTGGTAGTACATCCCTTAGAGTAGATGGCCAGTGAATATTGATTGAATGAATTAATTAAATCTGAACAAATCTCTGGTTTTTACGTTGCATCACCTTGAAACTACAACCACCACGCTCTAGTCCTTCACTGTAAACTTCTTAAATGTGTGATGTCTGCTGTCTTCTGTTCTATCTGTGCAGCCAGTCAAGCTGCCCTGGGTGGGCATGGGCATGCATGTGCATATCTGCACCCATATGCATGGCATGTTCATGCGTGTGTGTGTCAGCATGGCGTGGGAGTGTGTGTGCATACACATTTGCGTCTGCACGTGCTTCTCCTGCTTTGATGTCTGGCCCTCCCGCGGACCTCTGGGTTTTTGGATTGTCCCTCTGACCTGCCTTTTCATGTCATCCGTTTTGTTGTCCTTTCTCTGAAGGGAAGCTTCCCAGAGTGGCATCCTCAACCCTCTTCTTGGTCTATGTTGCTTCTCTGGGCAGCCTCTCTCCTGTGATTTTGGCAACTACCACCTCGCTGATGTGTTCTGTCTGGCCTTCTGTTTCTGGGCCAGTCACAGTTGCAGAGCTGCCTCCTCAGACCTGTTGGACAGGTCTGCCTGGAGGCTCCGTCCATTCTCCTCTGCAGGCTTCTGCCTGAATACTGGAACACAGGGGACCCTCCAGGGGAGAAGCCTCATTCACCTTCAGTTCCCTCTTGTCTCTGCTCTCCACCTCTGCACGGTCAGCAGTGTGGTCAGTTCTGTGTCTTCACTGTTCTTGAGGGCTCCAGCCCTGTCAGCAGAGCCTCTTTCACACCTTTGTCCTCTGGCTTGGAGGACTGCCTTGTATGCCTTGGGCATAGGCACTGGGCCTGGCACAGCAGTCAGTCCTCTTTTTCAAATAGGGACTGAGTTGTGGTGTGTGAATCACTTGACCCTTGGTGGCTCCTTATTGCCCCCAGGATGGAGCCAGGCCCCAGATGGCACCCAGGACTTCCTGTGCCTTGGCTCCAGCTGTCTCCTGAGGCTCCCCCGACCGACCCTGGCCAGGTTCCCTTCCCCACAGCCACCACCCCCTCCTCTACTGGGAACAGAACCATGCCACCTCTGGCGACCTCAGCACGCTGCATCACTGTCCCGGTCCACGTGCCACCTTGTGGGCCCAGGAGAGCCCTGGGGTCCCTGGGTAGCAGAGCGCCTGGCCGTATCTCTGAGGCCCTAGTGCCGCAGAGTTGAGCTGAGGGTCTCGCACTCGCCCTCTGACTGACCCAGCCCTAGCAGGTGAGTGGATCCATGTCGCTCTGATGGCCAGAGGGAGGCCACACACCTTATGTGTATTCTGGAAAGGGCAGCCTTGCACCGCGAGCTTGCTTACCTAATAAACTGAGTTAGGGGAATGCTGCGGTGAAGTTTAGCCTAGTTTTTTAAAATCTTTTTTGAGTGTTAAGATAATACTGTTTTTGTGCTTCTGAAGTAGGAATTACAGTGGACAATTAATATATTTAACTTTGGACTTAAATTATAATTTAGGTTTTGAAGGAAAAGCATAGAGCTAATTTGTTTCGAAGCCTAGAAGGTTCTCTAAGGCAGTAGTATTTTAAGTTCTTTACTACACTGTTAATAGCACTTGGTTCTCAGTGCCAGTGAAGCAGAAGGTTTCTGTCATTTTGTGACGATGTTTTTAAATCTCTTTGCAGGTGGAAGAAGAAAGGTGCCATTTTGGCATGAAGACAGACTCGCTTAGTCGTCAGTCATTTAAGCTGAGTGCATTGTGATTTCCAATAATTGAGGCAGTGGTTCTAAAAGCTGTCTACATTAATGAAAAGAGCAATGTGGCCAGCTTGACTAAGCCGCCAGCGTGTGCAGCGCGGGCAGGACGGTACCCGGGTCTCAACGGACTTGTGCATGTTAGCTGTATAGATTTATGTAAGGTTTTTTAAAACTCTGGTCTTTTAAAATAGTCTTAACCACTTTTACTATGGAGACATATGAGAGTCCCTCTCCTCTCCCGCGTGAGCCCGCAGGAGAAGCAGTGATGGAGAACCGAGCTTGCCCCCTCCAAGCGCTGCCCCGTGAACAGTCTCCACCACCTCCCCTGCAAACGTCCAGTGATGCAGAGGTAATGGACGTTGGCTCTGGTGGTGATGGACAGGCCGAATCCCCTGCTGAGGACCCGCTCAACTTCTACGGAGCTTCTCTTCTCTCCAAAGGATCCTACTCTAAGGCCCGCCTACTCATAGACCCGAACTGTAGTGGCCACAGCCCGCGCACCGCCCGGCACGCACCTGCGGTCCGGAAGTTCTCCCCTGACCTTAAGTTGCTTAAGGATGTAAAGATTAGCGTGAGCTTTACCGAGAGCTGCAGGAGTAAGGACAGGAAGGTGCTGTACACAGGAGTGGAGCGCGACGCTCGCGCAGATTGCGGTCTGGCCCTTAGCCCTGTCAGTGGAGACGTGCATGCTTGTCCTTTTGGCGGGAGTGTTGGGAACGGGGTAGGCGTAGGGGGTGAGAGTGCTGATAAGAAGGATGAGGAGAATGAGCTGGATCAGGAAAAGAGAGTGGAGTACGCAGTGCTCGATGAGTTAGAAGATTTTACTGACAATTTGGAGCTAGATGAAGAAGGAGCAGGCGGGTTCACGGCTAAAGCAATCGTGCAGAGAGACAGAGTGGATGAAGAGGCCTTGAACTTCTCCTATGAGGTATGTCGGCGACCCCTCCTTTGGAGCACTCTTAGCAAAACCCAAAGAGAGGTGTTGGGAACTGCAGCATCTTTTGAAAGCTGATGTTGCAGAGAAAAAAAAACAAAACCCGTATGAGGTGGAATGACGTTAATGTGGAAAAGAAAAAGCCGTAAGAAGTCCAGGTTTTTAAGTTTTCCAAAGGTTTGGCTGAGCAGTCGACCTTGTACTCTATGCAACCTGAGTTGGAAGGTGCTGCTGAGAAGCACTTCCTGGTGGGATGTGTACCTGTATCAAGCATCAAGCATGTTGGTTGCAGTTGTCAGTTTCATCCTGTTTGTTTTTCAGATGATCACGCAACATAAAGGCATACCGAGGCCCCACTTGGGAGTGCCTCATTTCTGTGTCTGTTCTCACTAATGCTGTTAAATTTGCCTACGGTACAGGAACGCGGGCTCCGGGGGCCATGGTGTCTGAACAGCATGTTTTGCAGGATGATTTTGACAACGATGTCGATGCTTTGCTGGAAGAGGGCCTTTGTGCTCCCAAAAAGAGGCGAATGGAAGAGAAATATGGAGGAGACAGTGACCATCCGTCTGATGGAGAGACAAGTGTGCAGCCAATGATGACCAAGATTAAAACAGTGCTAAAAAGTAAGTCAGCCGGTTAGAAAGTAGTGTGTTTGCGGGACAGCAGAAGTGTAGGTTTGAGAGCCCTCGGGTGCCAGGTGGTGGTCTGGGCAGTGGGCACTTATTTGATGGAGGACGGCCATGTCTGATGAAGGGGAAACAGATAAGACACAAGGATGTAACAGATGCATGACAACCCAGGGGCAGGTTGGGGTGTCTGCTGTGGATACACACCACAGAGCGGCTGGTGTTGTGGAGAGGAATGGGGAGGGCACTTCTGATGGGGTGAGGAGGAGGGAATGTTGTATGCTGGGAGATGACAAGATAGGCAACTAGAGGGTGTGGAGGCCAAGGCCAGAGGCAGGTACAGCACCACGGCAGGGGATGGTTGCAGTCTGGGTTCTGGATTCAGTAGAGGCAAAGGTATTCCGAAGCCGCACTTGGTTTTTGAGGGTGGTGGAGGGAGTTGGGAGGCACCCAGTGACATGCTTGTGCTGCTGCTTTGCCAGTGTGGTATAGGTATAAGAGAAGTCGGTGTCAGTTTCTAGCTTTCCTGGCCTGGAGGTACCTGTGAGTGTCCAGGTGGAGATCAGGCAGTGGAAAGGGGCTGAACAGATGAGTGGGGACTTGGGCACACAGTTGAGACCTTAGGCTGGGGGCCGGGTTGCAGAAAGTGGCCTGGTGTGATAGGAGGAAATTGAGGGGTCGGTGGTGTCCTGTCTCTGACTACAGAGTGGACGTGTCCGCAGTGCTGGCTGCTGGCACGTGTCTGCCTGGGTTAGCTAGTGGTTGGAACAGGATGGGTGTTGGGTTTATCAGCTGTAGATGGGGATAAGCCTAGGGCCTCAGCTTCTGGGAAGAAGGGGTGTGGGGGCAGTCTTTACTTCGGTGCCTCCGGAGATTTGCTTTGTACTCTTACTGTGGTTTCAGCAATCTGAGCAGACAAAGTCCTGTTCATCCTGAGTGGCCCACAGGTTCACAATATGCCTGTGACTGCAGGCATGCCACTTGGCCTGCCTGCACTGGGCAGTCCTGTACCTTTCTCTCTGCAGCCTTCTCCACCTCACCCACCTGGCAGCCTGCCCCATAGTGCAGCCTCCCAGGAGCTGCAGCATGGGCCTCATGCTCACAGGCGGCGTGTGAGCTGCATGTGAGCTCTTCAGATGGCTGGGCCAACTTTATGACTGCTGGTTGTCACAGATGAGTGATCCAGGTGCACCTGCCAGTAGTGCCATGTATTGCCATGTTCTGGTATCAGGTCAGGGGTTAGCACTGCCGGGTGGGGACCTGGCACTGGGATACCACTCCCTTTACCATGAGAGTCCCTGGTGCCATTTTATTGTATGTATATTTTTTAGATTTCATTTGCTTTTTTCCTTTTGTTTCTAAATTTCTTACTTGCACCCAGTACCTGTAAGATAATTAAGTTTCCGTTGAATCTTTGTGCTTTTCCCAGTAACCAGGCCTGTCAGTGGCAGATGTCAAGTGGGTAACAAGTCTTGAGTCTTTTTCTATGACTGCATGTTTACATGCTTTAGCAAGAACTGATTTAGAAATTTATGAATTGTGTTTCACATGCTAGTGAGAGCATGCAGCTTAGGTACAATGAAGGCATGTTATCCAGTCACAGGGAGCAGTGGTCGACAGACATGTAATTTATTAGCAAAGCTAACCCAGTCCCTGGGGTGCCTCTGGCCACAGCCAAGGCAGGCAGTGAGGAATTAATGCCCTTGATGCCCACAGCTGTGCAAGCAGCAGCTGAGGCTATGACTTGTGTCTTATAGAATCTCATCCCAGGCTCCTTCATGCACCACATGCTGTTCTAGGTCTAAGAGTACAGCAGTGAACAAAGTGGACAGCTTCCTGTGTTGAGGAGGAACTTAGGTTCTATGGGTTAGAGCTATGTAAACACAACAATTGAGAGCGGAGTTTCATGCATAGGAGGTGCTGAGCAGCAGATGGGGCTGGGACAGGCTCTGAGGAGGGCAGGGTACTCCCCTACTCTCCTAGTTCTTAGAGGTTTTTTTCAATACTTGGTTGGCTTTACTGTTCTCATCTGCTTGTAATTTTGAAGACTTCCATAACTCGGAGAGTTTTTGAAGTGATTGTGGGATGTTCTTGTCTTTATGTAGGTCGTGGCCGTCCTCCTACGGAACCGTTGCCTGATGGATGGATCATGACATTCCATAACTCTGGAGTCCCCGTGTACCTACACAGAGAGTCTCGGGTGGTCACCTGGTCCAGGCCGTACTTCCTGGGAACGGGAAGCATACGGGTAGGGGATGCATCAGTCATGAATTTAGTCTTGTAAGTTTGCAGACTGAACACACACACGTTGCACTTGCATCGTAGCCAAGCAGAGGCAGGTGGAAGGCATCGGATGTTCAGACCTTTGGGGTCATCCTTGTAATCTGTGTTGCAATTTCACTATCCGCAGAAACATGATCCTCCTCTGAGTAGCATTCCCTGTCTGCATTATAAGAAAATGAAGGATAATGAGGAAAGAGAGCAAAGCAGTGAGCTTGCCCCCAGTGGGGAAGTGTCCCCTGTCAAGCCGCTGAGCCGATCTGCAGAGCTGGAGTTCCCCCTGGAAGAGCCTGACTCCATGGGAGCTGACTCAGGGCCCCCTGATGAGAAGGACCCGCTGGGGGCTGAGGCTGCCCCTGGGGCCCTGGGGCAGGTGAAGGCAAAGGTCGAGGTGTGCAAGGATGAATCAGTTGGTAAGTTTCCTTCCTTCCTTGTTGGTTGGGACCCATCTGCAGGGATGTGGCTATATTCCGCGCCTTCCCTTCAATTACATTCCTACTGCTGAAGGCCACTTGTTCCTAGTTATGTTTGTGAGAAAGGGGCTTCTGGGGACCTGTGTCCACTCTTATGTGGCTAGAAAGGTGCGTCTCCCTGACCTTAGAACCCACCTGGTCTGCAGGCCCCACATGGCCAGTGCTGCCACAGAGGTGGCTACAGTCAGTGCAGATCGGCCTTTTTCTCCAGTCACTTTTGTGACCTTTCCTGAAATTCTGGTTTTTCAGCAGGATGTGCTCTCCTGGCATTGTTTTGATTTACCTTGATGGGCTCAGAGTGAGCTTCATCAATCCATGGACTCAGCACTGGGGGATGACCACTATTCTGTGGACATTTCCTGCTTCAATCCCACTATTGTTTTTGGCTGTGTTGGTGTTTCTCTTCTTTTTTTGTGTGTTTTTTAGCCTAGGCCTCCCCATTCAGTTTCTTTTTTTTTTTTAATGTTTATTTTAGAGAGAGAGAGAGACAGAGAGAGAGAGAGACAAAGTGAGAATGGGGAAGAGGGAGAGAGAGAAGGAGTCATAGAATCTGAAGGAGGCTCCAGGCCCTGAGCTGTCAGTGTAGAGCCTGACGCGGGGCTCGAACTCATGAACTGAGAGATCATGATCTGAGCCAAAGTTGGCCGTTCAACCAACTGAGCCACTTAGGCGCCCCTAGGCTTCCTCATTCAACTCTTAGTTTGTCTCTATAGTGGTGGCAGATCTGTTTCAGCCCACCTGCTGAATCTCATTTCAAGGAGGACTTTGTGTTTTTGAGGATTTTTGGTAATTGCTGTTTGGATATTGTCAGTATTGCTGCCCAGCCTGTCTTGTAACTCTTGTGTATGAGGAGCCTAGAAGAGCTGGGGTCAGGGGAGCACCACTGCTGAAGAAGGGGAGGGTGTCTCAGAGAGGGGTGGCCTCTGTGGAGAGAGGTGTCTGGGGAAAGGCAGGGTGTGTCACTAGCCCCCAGCTTCCCCAGTGGACAGACTGCGTTCTCCCCACACCTGCCTGCTTGCTGTCTCCCTCCTTATCCACGTCAGCCTCCCGTGTCTTCTGTCCGGGTGCTGGAGCTTTTCTCAGGACCTGGCTGAAGGGAGCTTTTGCTTTCAGCCTTTATCATAGAGGTTTTTTTCTTCATACTATCTTTTAGGCACACATAACACCTGAATGTGTTCCTGTTTTTTTGAAAACACCTGCCTTTCATTTCTAATTTCATTCCCATGGGAGAGGTTGACCACTTGTACTTGTTGGCAGACTCACTTCCCTGCATTCACATGTAAAGAAATATGTGGTTGTGGTGCATAATTAAGTAGGTGCAGGTACGTTGTTTCACAGCTTTGTGTTTTAACCGTATATTCCTCAGTCTTCACACATGGAACTCCTCCCTCCGCTTCCACCAGCACTGCTCTTTGGGCTGGCCATGAGCCATGACAGTCCCTGCCTCAGGGCTTACACTTGAGTAAGAAACCAGTTAGGCTGACGTGATTCTCTAGGATGTCCTGGGAAGGAGAGGGGTAGTGGGTGCAACAGTAAAAGCAGGAGGCCCCTGGGAACTTCACTGAGTGGGGTGGGTGGTGAACAGTGGGGATGGGCCAGGGACTGTGTGGGGCGAGGCATGACCAGTGCCAAGGCCCAAGCCACCTGCTTGTGTTGCTGAGTGTGCTTGGGGCCAGGGTGCCGGAGGGGAGAGTGCAAGGTGTGCACTGGGTGCATAGCGCTTTGGCTGCTGTGGTACCTGTTTTGATACAGGGAAAAAAGGCTTGAAGGCCATCTGATTTTTTGTTTTTAAAACTTTTTCTTTTTCTCCTTTTTTCTTATTGTTCTTGTTCCAAATAAACTAAAAGAGCATCCTAGAGGTTTGTAACTTGAGTAATTTGAGGAGCTGCCAGAGTGAAGGGACCTGATCCTTTGCTTTCTTTGCTCTTTGAAAGGAAAAGTGAAAGAATGGGGATGGTGTGGTGGGACCTGTTTGATGGGCAGCCCGTTGCTGCCCTACTCAGTGGGCAGAGAAAACATGACTCTTATGTTGGAAATTAGCAGTTTTGTTCTCTGGTAAATCCACACAGATCTTGAGGAATTTCGGAGCTACTTGGAAAAGCGTTTTGACTTTGAGCAAGTCACTGTGAAGAAATTCAGGACTTGGGCTGAGCGGCGGCAGTTTAACCGAGAAATGAAACGGAAACAGGCAGAGTCTGAGAGGCCCATCTTGCCAGCCAATCAAAAACTCATCACTCTGTCTGTGCAGGATGCACCCACAAAGAAAGGTGAGTTGGGGCTTGTAAATTTTATCATTGGCAGATTGATTATACTGTTGTTTTTCACTTGATGGTCTTAGAACATATGCTTTGTGTGTGAATTGCGTTTACTTCAAAGCTTATGTTTACCCTATGAATGCAGAGGTGCACTGTGTTCATGGTGGTGAGCCCCTAATTGTGAGTGAGTCGCTAACTTGGTGGTGCCAGGTCCCAAGTGCTAGCTTGCGGCAGGTCCTCATGCTGTTGCTGAGATAGGCCTTCTTGTCACAGAGTTTGTCATTAACCCCAACGGGAAGTCCGAGGTCTGCATCCTGCACGAGTACATGCAGCGAGTTCTCAAGGTCCGCCCTGTTTATAATTTCTTTGAATGTGGTAAGTTTGACCTCCCCCATCTCAACCCCGAAGAATCCTACACCTTGCTGGGGTCATGGCTGGGAGGCGGGAACCGACCATTAGCCCCACTCTTTGGGATAGGAGTGAAAAGGCAGGGCAGGGAGAAGGGCACTGCAGGTGGGCAGGTCATTTTCACAGTAGTGTGCCCCTTCTGAGGGCCAGTGCTTCTGCTTCCCCTTCCGTTATCCATGCTCCCTCCACCCCCACCTTCCGTTCATTCCTTGCTCCAAGGAAGGCCTCCCTTGCTGTGTTTCCACCTGCCCCCAGGTGGATGGAGTGGCCTTAGGCCTGCACTTCCCGCCAGCTGTCTCCTGTGGCCATCCTCATCACGCCTTTGTGAAAACCAGTTTGTCCTTGGAAGTCTGAACCCAGGAGTCACGCATTATTTTTCATGTTGTTTCTTTGACTTAACTGCATCTGTGTGTCTCCGCTGCTCACAGCCCTCTGTCCATCTTTCATAGACATTGATCCCTATCCCGGCTTGGCCTCTGGCCTCCTATTTCCCCTCCAGCTTACGAACCCGTAGTCTCCCATTTCCCAAAATTTTCCTGGCATGCTCTTTGCCTGCTGACCAACCCTTGGCCCTGTCTCCATGCCTCGGGAGCCCCTGTCTCTGCCCTCCAGCAGCAGCCCTGACCCTGCCTTGTCTTTTGGTGCCAGCAAATTGTATGTATACGTGCGTGCATGCTTTTAATGTCTTGGCAAGTGTTTTTAAAGCAATAATTTTAATTTTAAGAGAACCCAAGTGAGCCTTTTGGTGCCTCGGTGACCATTGATGGTGTGACCTATGGATCCGGAACTGCAAGCAGCAAAAAACTTGCGAAGAATAAAGCTGGTAATGTGCCTATTTGGGTGTCAGAGACCTATGCTACCTACTGTGTCTGCCTCTCCCCTTAGCTGGGGAGGGCTGGGGGTAGAGCAAATCCATTTTATTTATGTAATCATCTACCTTGGTTTTTTAAAAGTATGTGCTCTTTGGAAAAGACTCAAGTAGAGGAAGTAAAGTGTGAGAAATAAAAGTAGAAAATGCAAACCTCTGCTCGGTGGAGGCTGGGCCAGAATCTTCCAACCTTGTCCCCACCACTCACAGAGCTGACTAGGCTGTGCCTAGCACGCATACTAGAGCGGGTTTGTATTTAAACTGAGCAAAACGTGGGCATCTTAGGAGATGACAAACAGGTGGAAACATATGCAGTCAGCATTCTCCTTGAGTGGTTTTGACATGTGCGAGGACGATTTCCTGAGTCCTTCAAACCGCCATTCATTGAACATAGCCTGTCAGATCCCTGGGAAGGCCTATGTTTCTGGTTAAAATGGAAACCGTTCTGCCTCACCATTAGGATTACTTGACCTCTTCTTGGGAGTAGAGCACATTGCATGGTACATGTTGGGTGTACCCAGACACTGGCGCCCACAATTCCATTCTTGAGGTTTCTCTGTTGTGTCTTCCAAAGCATGAAGCATGTTGGTTTATCACATTCTCACCAGGTCTCGAGGGTGGTGAAAGTGCTTTTGCTCACGTGACTCAGAATTTCCTTTGGAGTTGCTTTCTTTGGTGATGTATGCTGAGGATGATTGGGAGAATACGTTACTTTCTATCCTTTCGTCACGGGTTCTCCCTCAAGGCCTGCTGTCCATTTTAGGCGGAAAACTGACAAAAGCCTTTTTCAGCTCAACAAACTGGTGCTGCTAAGGTCATGGGGCACATAACCAGCAGAGTGGGGCTCATTGTGGGAGTGGAAACGTCCTGGCAGTGGGGCTCTGCTCTCCCCATGTGCAAGGATCCACTTCTCTGCCCAGACCCCAGCTGCTCTCTTGATACCTCACTCAGATGTCTTGCCAGCACCTACAACTCTACAGGGTCAGACTTTTGCCCCTCCCCTGTTCTGCAGCACCCCCCACTTCCCCACCCCAGTGGTGAGTGGCAGCCTTGCTCACGCAGAAACCTGTGCTCAGCATTGAGTCATCCCTCTGCTCCATCCTGCAGATGCTTTCTCCAAAGTATCTGTCCAATCGCTCTGCTTTTCCCTGCCACACTCAGCAGCCTGCTCACTCCTCAGGCCTCGCTGCCTGGCCTGCTACAAGTACCTCAGGGAAAGAGTACACACAGCTCGGTGTGGCTTACAAGGCTGCCCACAGTCTTAACGCTTGTCCCACGGCCTCCTTTGTTTAGGATGTGCACCTCCCGTCCTCTGCTCTCCCTGCCTGTGAAGTGCTGCTTGCTGTTCTCCAGGGCCCTTGCTTTCCTCTGAGGCGTGGGTACTCTGGCCCTACACAGGAGTCAGCATGTAGCTTGCTCTGGAGTTAGGAAGCAAGCTGGGCCTGAGCCCTCACCCTTGGGGTTTTTCTTTTCATAGCCCGAGCTACGCTGGAGATCCTTATCCCTGACTTTGTCAAACAAACCTCTGAGGAAAAGCCCAAAGACAGTGAAGAGCTTGAGGTGAGTGTTGTGATCCTGCCCTGTTTGGAGCTGTGGTCCCAGTGCGGTGTCCACACCCCACCCTCCTCACTAGTGCAGGTTATGCTTACGGATTTAGTCACCCAAGCTCTAGGTGATTTTGTTTTGTTCATATTTTATAAAAGGGGAAACTAGCTTGTCTTTGTGCAAACAGGGGGAAAGGTGTTATTTTTGTCAGAGATTTTTGTCCCGTGTCTTGCAGTGAGTGGTAAAGAATGTGCATAATAAGTGTATACGGGAGTTCGTCAGCTCTACCCTGACTGGAGATCCATGGTGAGAATGAAACTTTGAGACTGTCTGTAAAAGTTATGTCGTTCTTTGTATTAAGAACTACTTAAAACTACTTGTGAACTTTCTTGGGTAAATATGATAAAATGGATATTTGTAGTAAGGGCTTCTCAAATTCTGAGGAAGGTGTTCTTTTTTATAAGTTCATTAAAAATATTTTTTTTTAAGTTTATTTTAGAGAGAGAGGGCATGAGTGAGGGACAGAAAGGGAGAGAGAGAGAATCCCAAGCAGGCTCTGTGCTGTCAGTGCAGAGCCCAATGTGGGGCTCAGACTCAAACCATGAGATCATGACCTGAGCCAAGATCAAGAGTCGGATGCTTAAGCAACTGAGCCACTCAGAAGCCTCTCTAACAGTTTTATTGATATGTAATTTATATACCATGAATTTTGCTCTTTTAAACCGTACTGTTGAGTGGATTTTTGTGTATTCAGAGTTGTACAATCATCGCTTGCAGTGTTCTAATCTTAGAATATTTTCATCTCTCTGGGAGGAAACCCCATACCCATTAGCAGTCACTCCTAATTCTCCCTGTTCCTTGCCCCTCAACCCCTGGCGACCACTAATCTCCCTGTCTTGATGGATTTACTAGTTCTGGACACTTCATACCAATGGAATCATATGACATGTGGTCCTTTGTGACTGGCTTCTTTTATTTACCATGCTGTCTTAGCTGTAGGTTTTATCAGATTGAGGAAATTTCCTTCTGCTCTTGGTTTGCTGGGAGTTTTTTTTAGGAATGGATGTTGGATTTTGTCAGATGTTTTTCCTGCTTGTACTGAAATGATTGTCAGGTTTTTGTTTTTTACTTTAGTCATGTGGTATATTGCATAGGTTTTTGAATGTTAAACCAACCTTGGATTTCTGGGATAAATCCCACTTAGTCATGGTGCACGTAAGTTTGATGTGTTGCTGGATTTAGCATGCTGGTATTTTAAGGACTTTTGCAGCTATATTTATAAGGAATACTTGTCTGTAGTTTTCTTGTGATGTCTGGTGTTGGTGTTGGGGTAATACTGTCTTTACAGAATGAGGTGGAAAGTGTTCCTTTCTCTACTATTGGTGTGGAATATTTCGTGAAAGGTTGGTAGTAATTTTTTAAACATTTGATAGAATTCACCAGTGAAACCATCTGAGTCCAGACTTGAATTTGTCCGAGGTTAGTTAATTACTAATTCAATCTTTTCACTTTTACCTCTGTTCAAATATCCTATTCCTTTTTGAGCTGGTTTGGAAACTTTGGGTTTTTATAGGAATTTTTCATTTTGATCTAGACTAATTCTTTGGCATACATTTATTCATAGTGTTCCATTATGATCCACGTTGTTTTGGTAAGTTTGTGCTGCTCCTGCTTTCATTACTGATTTTAGTAGTTGAGTCCCTCTTTTTTTCTCTTGGTCAATTTAAAATTTGTCAGTGTTGTTGATCTTTCAAAGATCTAACTTCCGGTTTTGTTGATTCCCCCCCCCCCCGCCCCCCCAACACAATAGCGTTGTTACTGTCTGTTTCATTTATTTGTGCTGTAGCCTTTGTTTCCTTTCTTCTGCCAACCTTAGGTTTAGTTTGTTTTTCTTTTCTAGTGTCTTCAGAGTATTGATTGGAGATCTTTTCTTTTTATTTATTCCATTTAATTTTATTATTTATTTATTTATTTAGAGAGAGCGTACACACGAGTAGGGGAGAGGGGCAGAGGTAGAGAGTGTGAGAGAGATTCTTAAGCAGGCTCCATGCTCAGGGCTCAGTCCCACAACCCTGGGATCATGACCTGAGCTGAAATCAAGAGTCAGGTGCTTAACTGACTCAGCCACCCAGGTGCCCCCTGAGATCTTCTTTCTAAATATTGGAGCTTGGGCTATAAATTTTTTTCTATGTACTACTTTAACTGCGGCCCATAAGCTCTAGTGTGTGTTCTATTTTTTGTTCACCTCAAAGTGTTTTTCTCATTTCTCTTGTGGTTTCTTCTTGAACCATTGGTTATTTTAGGAATGTCTACTTTCCATCTATTTGTGAATTTCCCAAATTTCCTTTAGTTATTGATCTTTAATTCCAGTGCGGTTCAAAAACATAGTTTGTATGATTTCAGTCAGTCTTTTAAATTCATTGAAGTTTGTTTTATGACCTAACATACGATTTGCCCTAGAGAATGTTTTATATGCAAGTGTACTATGGAGTGAACCAGATGCCTGTTAAGTCTAGTTGGTGTATAGTGTTATCTTCCTTTGTTGGTCTTCTGCCTAGTTCTTCTATCCGTTCTTGAATGTGGGTATTGGAGTCTTCTGCTGTTGTTATTGAATTATAGCTTCTTTCAATTCTGTTTTTGCTTCATGTATTTTGGGGCTGTTGGTAGCTACATATATGTTGGTGGTATTGGGAGGTAATTAGAAATGTATGTTTGGTCTTTGTTCTTGGTTCCTGGTGCAGAGCTTCTAATGTAATACAGTACATTAATGTGTTTTTTGTCCCCATTTTTTTAAAAAGCTGCAGGTTGATAAAGGTGAATGTTTTTTGTTATTTTTAACAGACTCCTTTTTTTAAGATTTTTTTCCTATTTATTTATTTATGAGAGAGAGGGAGAGAGAGAATCTCATGAGGGGCAGAGAGAAAGGGAATCCCACACAACAATAACAGTGCAGAGCCCGAAGTGGGGCTCGAATTTGCCTGAAGCTGCGCTCAAACTCACGAACTGTGAAATCATGACCTGAGCCTAAGTCAGATGCTTAACTGACTGAGCCACTCGGGCACCCTTTAACAGGCCCCTTTCAACCACATCTGAGTTTATGTTAATGAAGTAGCTTTTGGACCATTCCTTTGGGTGGGAGCTGGTTGCCCAGGGAATTTACCATCTAATTAGAGGGTTGGGACTTTCAGGGACCTCCCCCTCCTGTGTGTTTGGGGGGAGGCACTGGATGTTGAGCTAATTGCTAATGGCCAATGAGGTAATCAGTTACGCCTGTATAGTGAAGCCTCCATTAAAAAACTCTTAACTGAAGGGGTTCAGAGAGCTTCTTGGTTGATGAACACATTGAGATGCTGAAAAGATGGCAGGCTCAGAGAAGGCATGGAAGCTCTGTACCCCTTCTTTTATACTTGCCCTATTTATCTTTTCCATCTGGCTGTTTCTAAGTTATATCCTTTTGTAATAAAGCAGGGCTCTAGGAAGTAAAACGGAGGAAGGGTTGGCAACCGCCAGTATATAGCTGCTCAGTCAGAAGCACAGGTGACAACCTGGACTTGAGGTTAGTGGCAAGTGGTGGCAATAGTCTTGTAGGACTGAGCCCTTAATCTGCAGGATCTGCTCTAACTCCTGGCAGTTAGAATTAGAACGGCTTGGTGTGGAAACACATTCATTTGGTGTCACAAGTGTTCAAACCAGAAGTCAGTTCTATTTAATGTTTATAATGGTTATGTCACCTTGATGGATGGACTCTTTGTCATTATTAAATATCCTTTATCTTTAGTAACAGGTTTTGTCTTAGTGTCTTAGAGTCAGTTTTCTCTGATACAGTCATTCCTACGTTTTTTTTTTTTTT